TGCGTGCTGAATAAATTGAATAAATAAATAGAAAGTGTAAATAAACTGAGCATATGTAATGCAAGCTCTACCCCTTAAGTCAGGGGTGGCTAACCTTTTTGGGCTCCTGTGCCAAAAATTGTGTGTGCATGCACGTTTACGAGCCAGCACCCAGAAGACAATGCATACGCCCCCACCACGCCCCCTGCGCATGCACACGCAATTCTCCCCCTCCGCCACCTTACCTGCACTGTGCCTCCTAGCTGATTTTGGCCTGTTTAAAGCCTTTTTTGGCCTCCCAGAGGCTTGAGGAAAGCCTCTGCAGCCTTTGCAGGCTAAAAATAGGACCATTTCATCACTTCCTGTATTTCTGGAAATACCAGAAGTGACAAAACGGGACCATTTTTCAGCCTGCAAAGGCTGCAGAAGCTTTCTTCAAGCCTCTGGGAGGCCAAAATCAGCTAGGAGGCGCAGTGCAGGTAAGGTGGCGTAGGGGGGGATTGCGTGTGCATGCGCAGGGGGCGTGGTGGGGGCGTATGCATTGTCTTCTGGGTGCTGGCTCGTAAGCGTGCATGCACACACAATTTTTGGCACAGGAGCCCAAAAACGTTAGCCACCCCTGACTTAAAGGGTAGAGCTTGCATTACATATGCTCAGTTTGTTAGGTATAACATTGATACCAAATATGGTTTGGGTGAATAAATATATAAAACTTAGATATCATGGTTTAAGTGCTTATCACTTTAAGCACAATGCAGCAGGCAATTAGCCGATTAAGGGTGCGGTTACAAGTTACAATATAAGGAAGCATTAGAAGCTGGAAAGCTGTCTCTGTCTGTAACTGTGTGCTGCTGCGACTTACTGTGTGCTGCTGCGACTAACTGTGTCTTACTGTGACTAACTGTGATTACTGACTGTGAGTGCCTGTGACTGAACTGTTTTTGTTTGCTACTGTTTGCTGAATATCCAGCGTTTGTTTCTCTGGAGAGTGAAACCGGAGGAGGAGAAGATATCTTTATCGGCTGATAAAGATATTGCAAGGACTCTTAACTTGGACTATACTAGTGAGTCTTACTGGATGGAAATACTGTGAATGACTTAATGGACTGAATGACAATGCTTAAATTCTAACTGGATTAAAAACTATTTAAACTACAAACAGTGTTTGTGTTCAGTGTGTGTATACTCTGGGGCCCTTCCGCTCTCCTTTGGCTTCCTGGCTTGACTACTGCTGCAATACTCTTCTAGGGGTTAATCACCAAAACCCTAACAAGTTTATTTACACTTTCTATTTATTTATTCAATTTATTCAGCACGCAGCCCATCTCACTGGTAAGGCGACTTTGGGTGGCTTACAAAATGGTAAAAAGATAAATATAAAATTAATAAGACTTTACAAGCGGCCTCCACTCGCACCGCCCGGGCTCCGCTCAGGTATCCGGCTGGGGCTGTCAGGAGTTGCTACCGCCGGCGCAGCTCCACGCGGCTCCAGTCCCGCGTTGCCTCGGGAAGGGAAAGGCAAAACCAGGATCCGCTGCTGCCGTTGCAAAGCGCCGCTGCGGCTCTTCCTTTTTGCCTTTCCCTTCCTGAGGCAACGCCGGACAAAGTCCGGTTCCATGTTTGCCAACAAAAACCAAGCCAGACAGCCCAGCTTTTACAGACCAAGAATTGAGGGACAGCATCCAGCTGTTTCTTGGCTGTTATTATTATTTTTTTAAACTAACAATTAATAATGAAAGTGACATTTTTATTTTTACTTATGCCACCCCTGCTTGGAATTCGTTTTTTGCACTGATTATGGAGCAGATTCCCCATTAGTAAGGTGACCAACCATCCTCCTTTAGGGAGGACAGTCCTCCTTTTGTAAGTTCTGTCCTCCCATGAAAAGTGTCCTCTTAAATGTCCTCCTTGTTGATATTTGGAGACTAATCTGTAAATCTCCCTATTCGATCGATGCCAAGCTGATCCGTTGTGTGTGATGTGACGTATTTGTATTTGACATGACGATTCGTCAGGGCTCGGTACAGTGCGACGAGACGCGATTATGAGACGCATGCGCTCCACACAGGAGAATTGTTTTGAGAGAGTGCGCCGCGCGCAAGTGGCTTTTTTTTTTTCCTTCAATTTATTTGTGTCCTCCTCATTGTAAAAAAGTTGGTCACCTTACCAACGGGGACAGTTAAAATATTAATAACAGAGTTGGAAGGGATGTTGGAGGCAGGGGTGGGCTTCATAAATTTTAGCAGAGGGTTCTTCTGCCTGGTTGCTGGGTGGGCGTGGCCATGGTCCTAGTCGGCTTCCTGCATCACGGCGGGTGTGTGTGCTCTCCCCGGGCTCTGGAGGCTTACTTCAAGCCTCCGGGAGGGTGAAAACGGCCTCTCTAGGCTCCGGAGGCTCTCTGGAAGCCGGAAACAGGCCCATTTCCAGCTTCCTGAACTTCCGGGAGGCCCGTTTTTTGCCCTCCCCGAGCCTCCGTGCATGCCCTGCACTTACCTGCATCCAAAATGGGCCACGTGGGGACTCCTAGGAGGGGAGGGGCAGGGCCAGCCAGGAGTGGGATTTGTGGGGTTCTCCGAACTGCACAGAATCTTAGCTAGGGGCTCTCCCGAACCCCTGCGACCTCCCCCTCCCAGCAGCCCACCCCTGATTGGAGGTCATCCAGTCCAACCCCTTGCTCATTTCAGACAAATGACCATCCGGTCCCTTTTAAAAAAATCTTTAAAAATCAACAAGCTTCCCCCTGGCGGAAAACATACGCTTCTACCTGCTCTGGTTTGGGATAATGCCCTTGTCCAGCTCTTGAAGTTCCTTTCCGATCCGCAGAGCCAGCCAGCTTCCTAATTTCCCCCGGTATATCGTGTCCACCACGTGGAAGACTTCTCCCCGCGTAAAGCTCAGGGCCGAAGGCGTATCTTTCTCAAAATCAAAGTGGGTGCGGATGTAGAACGAATCTCCCAGGTTGGATTTGACCATCTTCTTGTAAACTAGGGAAAAGAGACCAATGGGAAGCACTCATTCCGGCTCAGCACAGCCTACCTTACAGGGATATGGTTACACATATATATATATATTTTAAAAAAAGGGAAGAATTCTCCACCCGTGACTGGAGTTGATGGCATTTTGGAACACTGATAAAACACAGGTGGGCAATTTCTTTTTAAAGGCATGTATCCGTATGTCCACCTTTTCATCCATCCCTCTTTTTATCCATTCATCTGATTTTCAGGAGCCTCAGTTGCTTGTCTGGCTGGGTTGGATTTGTAGGGCTGATTCTTTTTGATAGAAGGCTTAACAGAATATCAGAGTTGGAAGGGACCTTAGAGGTCTTCTAGCCCAACCCCCTGCTTAGGCAGGAAACCCTACCCCATTTCAGACAAATGGCTGTCCAACCTCACCTTAAAAACTTCCAGTGTTGGAGCATTTACAGCTTCCGGAGGCAAGTTGTTCCACTGATTGATTGTTCTAAAATTTATCCTTAGTTCTTGGTTGCTTCTCTCCTTGATTAGTTTCCATCCATTGCTTCTTATCCTACCTTCAGGTGCTTTGGAGAATAACTTGACTTCCCTCTTCTTTGCGGTAACCGCTGAGATATTGGAAGACTGCTACCATGTTACTCACAGTCCTTTTCATCAAACTAGTCACATCCAATTCCAGCAACCGTTTTTATATGTCTTAGCCTCCAGTTCCCTAATCATTTTTGTTGCTCTTCTCTGATAATAATCTTGGTTGCTCTTTATTAGCCTCTCAACATCATTCTTACATCATGCTGACCAAAACTGGATGCAGGATTCCAAGTTTAAGGGTGCTAACTTCACCCATAACCACATCCCCTGACAGGAAACGCACACGTGGGAGGGAAAGGAGGGACACAAAAAAAAATTCTACAAATGAGGAATAAATCACTTACTGTCCTGTTTGTTTTGAACATGGAAGGTCACTTCTTCCCCTGGGAGCAACTCCATCAAGTACTGCACGGCATCCTCCCGCGTCAAGTTCTGGAAGGGCTTCTCGTTCACCTGCCGAAAGAAAGGGGCAAAAGGGGGTTTGCCCAGCACTGCCCACCTCATTTGCCCATCTGTATTGATCTTGCAATTATTATTATTTGAGGCACGTTGCCTTGCATTCAGGAACTCGAGGTGACGTGCAGAGTTGAGGTCCGCAAATCTTAAAAGTGATGGCCAAGGTTGAGAAACACTGGTCTCCTCTGTAACTACATTTGATTGATTGATTTGTATCCCACCTTTATTATTTTTATTAGGGCAGCACTGTGGCTCGGTGGTTAAGATGCTGGGCTTGTCAGCTGGAAAAGCCAGCAGCCCAGGTTCGAGGCCCGAGCCCCAACAAGGCAGGGTGAGCTCCTGTCCTCGCCTCAGCTCCTGAAAACCTAACGGTTCGAAAGCATGCAAGTGCAAATAGATAAATAGGTACCACTTTGGTGTGAAGGTCACAGCACTCTGTGACCTCATGCTGGCCATATGACCGTGGAAATTCTTCAGACAGCGCGGGTGTCAACTAAAAAAAAAAAAGATGCTCCTTTGGTCTTTTTAGTTGCCAGCAGAAAGAGAATGGGGGAAAGCTGTGCATTCCTCAAATGCCTCAGATAATCATCTTGGCAGCCCAAAGCTGTCGGTGTGCAGGAATATTACTGGAAAACATGATTGATGACTATTGGCTATGGATGTGTCCCGTTGGAGAATATACATCCAGGGGGTCAGAGGAAGACCAGGGTCAAGGGGGAAATGAATGATGTATCTTAGTGTCGGCTGCACCCAGCTAACGCCAACATGGCCATTCCTAATAAATCAATTTTTTTACTCTGAGAGATGCGGCTAGAGACTTACGATTTGAAGGGGGGGGGATTTGTTGGAGCCCTGACAGCTGGCTCAATGGCCTTGCAACTGGAATTAGCACTGTCCCCTACACTGTCCCCTACAACACTATTGGAGTAAAATGTGCAGGGATTCCTTTACCTTTCATAATTCTTACAAATAACTCAAGGTGGGCGAACATATCCAACACACCTTCCTCCTCCCTATTTTCCCCACAACAACAACCCTATAAAGTGGCTTGTGCTGAGAGAGAGTGAGTGGCCCAAAGTCACCCAATTGACTTTCATGCCTAAGGCGGGACTAGAACTCTCAGTCTCCTGATGATTGGCCCAAAGTCACCCAGCCGGCTTTCATGCCATCAGAAGTTGTGGGAGCGTCATCACTGGTGGCTTTCAAGAAGAGACTGGACTGCCATTTGCCAGAAATGGTGTAGGGTCTCCTGCTTGGGTGGGGCTTGGACTAGAAGGTCTACAAGGTCCCTTCCAACTCTGTTCATCTGCTATCAGCCTAAGGCGGGACTAGAACTCTCAGTCTCCTGGTGATTGGCCCAAAGTCACCCAGCCATCTTTCATGCCTAAGGCGGGACTAGAACTCGCAGTCTCCTGGTGATTGGCCCAAAGTCACCCAGCCATCTTTCATGCCTAAGGCGGGACTAGAACTCTCAGTCTCCTGGT